GGCTTTGGAGAGTTTCTGCCAGAAATGTTGGTCCCACAGCAGCTGCTAAAACCTCTATTGCCTCGCTCGTGAGTGGAGGAGCTCCACACGTGGTTGCTCCCTTCTTTGGTATATGAAGACTCTGGCCTCTTTTGGTCGTACCCACTGGATTGATATATTTTCCAGAGCTATAACTGCTGTCGTGTAAGCTGCCAGGAGCAATGTACTTTAAAGAAACAAAACTTTTTAATATCTGGGATTCACAAAATTTCTCTTTGAATATTTGCTTTGTGTACTCACACTGCTTCTGGGTTTTGTTCCCACGTGTTATTTAGCAAAATCTCATCCTCTCCTCTATGTTAGCTTACAGGAAGGAGGTTTGATACCTAAAACTACTGGGATCTGGAAAAGTTAGTGGTTTAGAACAATATTTTCCTTTTTTTCCTTGAGGTGTTCCTTGAGGTAACAGAGTCTCATTCTGTTACCTAGGCTCAAGTGCCATGGTATCATCCTACTTTACAGCAACCTCAAACTCCTGGGTTCCAGCTATCCTCCTGCCTCAGCTTCCCAAGTAGCTGGGACTACAGGTACCCACCACAATACCCACTTAACTTTTCTAGTTTTTTAATAGAGATGGAGGTCTCACTTTTGCTCAGGTTGGTTTTGAACTTATGAGCTCAGATGATCTTCCTGCCTTGGCCGGTCCCAGAGTGCTGGGATTTGTTTGGCCTAAGATGATATTTTCTACCATATATTCTTTGGAATGCTAGCCCTGTAAGGTATTCTCTACTGTAAAATGTATCTTTCCCTTGAACACTCACGATTCACATATGGTGTGTAAAAACTCTAAAAAGTCCTGAGCAAGTTAGGCACAGTTATATGTGCATCTGATCTGTAGTCCCTGGTACTCAGGAGGCTGAGGCAAGAGGATCGCTTAAGCTTAGGATCAAGGCTTGCCTAGGCAACATGGCTAGACCCCTATTTCTTAAAAAGTCTACAGAAAAAAACCCTGTTAAATTTTATGTGGTACCTGTAGCTCAGCTATAGACACTGGGGCTGGTGGGTTCAAACCCAGCCCGGGCCTGCTAAACAACAATGACAACTACAGCAACAACAACAAAAATAGCCGGGTGTTGTGGTGGGCACCTGTAGTCCCAGCTACTTGGGAGGCTGAGGCAAGAGAATTGCTTAAGCCCAAGAGTTTGAGGTTGCTGTGAGCTGTGACGCCATGGCACTCTACTGAGGATGACATAGTGAGATTCTGTTTTAAAAAAAAATTTGTTTTATTATGTCAGTGTTTTCCAAACTTACTTGATGATGGAACCACTTAAAAATTTAATACTTTATATAGAGTACTCAAAAATTAATTGAGAAATGACATCCTAGAGAAATTAGTTTAGAGATCAGAAGACGATCCTGAAGAATTGCAGCAGAAGTAAGACTATGAGCTTTTTCCTGAAAGCTGAATTCAGTGCATGGTCCGTCAAACTTTTTCTGAAGATTAGACAGTTAATATTTCAGCTTTGTTGCCTCTGTGGTCCCTGTCATGCCTGTGTGGCTGTGTGTGACAGATTAACAGTACTGACTTGAGTGAGCATGACAGTGCTCCAGTAACACTTTTATTTGCAAAAACAAGCAGCAGCCTTATAGTGTGCTGACCCTTAGGCTAGTGGTTAGTGTTCCCTCAGAGCAGGCCAAGGATGGATGGAAAACATTTTCTGATCCTCTTATACCTACTCCAAGTATTTACAGTGGTGATTCTTTCACATTAAGCTGAAGTCTTGAAAGGGTTAAGATTCACTGTAGAGGCCGGGTGCGGTGGCTCATGCCTATATGCCTATAATCCCAGCACTCTGGGAAGCCAAGGTGGGTGGATTGCTTGAGGTCACAGGTTGAGACCAGCCTGAGCAAGAGCAAGACCCCATCTCTAAAAAATAGATGGGGATTGTGGCAGGCACCTGTAGTCCCAGCTACTTGGGAGGCTAAGACAAGAGAATGGCTTGAGCCCAAGAGTTGGAGGGTGCTGTGAGCTAGGATGTGATGGCACTCTACCAAGGGCGAGAAAGTGAGACTCTGTCTCAAAAAAAAAAAAAAAAGATTTGTAGTAGAGTTAATGTCTAATTCCTCAAGTTACTCATGTTTGAGGAATTGGGAGGTAAACTTGTATACCAGATTTTTGTTTTTTAAGGCATAATCTTACTCTGTTGCTCCAGGCTAGTTTGCCACAGTGTCAAGTCTAGTTAACAGCAGCTTTAAACTCTTGGGTTCAAGCAATCTCCTGCCTTAGCCTCCCGAGCAGCTGGGACTATAGGTGCCCACCACAATGCCCAGTTTATTTTTCTTTGTTGTTTTTGTTTGTTTGTTTGTTTTTAGTACAGACAGGGATCTGGTTCTTGGTCAGGCTGGTTTTGAACTCCTGAGCTCAAGAAATCTTCCCTCAGCCTCTCAGAGTGCTAGGATTACAAATGTGAACCACTGC